TATATAGAAAGTAACGTAAGATAAATAGATAAAGAATATAATATCGATATAGAAAGGAGGCCTTAATTTCAGCTTTTTAGGCGTTAATTAAACGAAGAGAGGTAGAGAGAAACCCTACGACGCGAAAAATTATGAGAAAAGCCGGAAGAACCCCGAAGATACTCTAATCCTAACCCGAGTTCCTCTCCTAGAGTATCCTAGATCTAACTAATCAGGAGGTAGGAATGTTTACCTATACATTATATGGGTAAGTCCCGCTAGGTACGTGCCAGCTTACAGACCTCCCCATTACAATACCTCACGTGTAAAGCGACTCGTAACAGTACTAAAGTATAAGTCTCGCTTAGTAACTTCTCTACTATAGACTACTATTAACTAGAATAATAGCTTCTTACCAATTATCACTTCCAGAATCTTCCTCTAGTATAACCTGCCTAAACTCGAGACTGAAGTTCTACTGTACCTTAAAAATTTATCTTACCTAGTTTTTAGGGAGTTTAACACTACTAAGATTTACTAGTCCATGCCACGTACATTAATCTCTTATGCTGAGTACTACGTTCTATGATGGCATAGGGAGCTTTTCGATAACACTAAGTGACAACGACGACAGCTTATAAGCCACGAAATTAGCGACTGAACCTACAGCTGAGCGGAGATCTCTCATAAGCATTTCGGAGTAAATGTACTGAGGGAAGAAATCACACGTCTTGTCTCGACGTCGACCACTCGCCGTTGAATAAGATCTATTTGTTATACTTATAGATGAATTCAACCCCTAAATTTTCTAGTGAGCTTTAATGCTAGCGCCATTAACCGCAGTAATGTTGACTGTAGGGCCCTTGACAGCGCTCTCACTGACTGCGGTGCCGTTGACTGCGCGCGCCTTGATAACGACGTTTCGATATGGCTCCTGGGAGAGAGCAAAGGCCATTGACTGGTCTAAGATGGACACGGCCCGGTCAATCTCCTCAGCCGAGACGATCAGTGGCGGCGCGATCCTGAAGACGCCAAACGCCCCCGGGACAGCGAGGATCTGGCAGGAAATGCCCAGCTCCAGGCCCTTGGCTGCGATCATGGCGCCCAGCTCGCTGCTCTGGACTTTGGTCACAGGGTCGCCGATGATTTCGATGCCCTGGAGCAAGCCGCGGCCACGGACATCGCCCACGCACCAGTACTTCTCCTTGAGCCGGAGGAGTCCCCGAGTCAATTGGAGGCCACGCTCCTTGGCTTTTTGAACCAGACCGTCTCGCTTGACGACCTCGAGGACCTTGCAGCCGACCGCACAGGGGAGCGGGTCGTTAACGTGCGTGGTCCCAAAGTAGAATCCTTTGTCTATAGCCTTTTTCGCGATCTCGGCACTCGTGCTCACCGATGACAGCGCGATGCCGCAGCCTAGCGACTTCGACAGGGCTAAGATATCTGGGACAAAGCCATCGCGCTCGAACGCGAACATGTCCCCCGTGCGGCCTACGCCGGTCTGCGCCTCATCGTCGATAAGAAGCATTCCGCGCTTCTGACACTCAGCGTAGAGTCGCTTGAAGTACCCTAGGGGCGGCTCAAGGATGCCGCCGCACGAGAGAATAGGCTCAATGACGAACCCGGCCAGGGAGCCCACCGACGCCGCGTCGATCAGGCCCCATGCATAGTCCATCTCGGTCTCCCAATCGTAACTCCCGTCGGGCGTGCGGAACACAGACCTATAGGCGTTGGGTGCGGGAAATGCGAGGTGGCCCGGAACGACGGGTTTGCCATGCTTGCGCCCGACGCTGTATGTGGCCGCGGAGACGCCACCGGTGACGCCGTGATAGCTGGCAGAGAAGGCCACGATCTCGAACTTACCGGTGGCCGCCTTGGCGAGGTTGATAGCGGCCTCGACCGACTCCGAGCCCGTCGAGATGAAGAAGGTCTTTTCCAGCGGCGCCGGGAGTAACTGAGCTATCTCCTCGGCGAGGTCGACCACGGGCGGCGACAGGATCGTGCTGTTGAGGTGGTCGAGCTCCGTGATACTCTTACTCACCACCTGCGCAATCTCTGGGTGGCAGTGGCCTAAGCTTGCGCTCATCTGGCCAGAGGTGAAGTCGATGATCTCCTTGCCATCGGCGTCATAGATAAAGATACCTTTGGTCCGCGTGATGACCGTCGGTGCCCACGGTGCGACGGTATTCAGGATATACTTGTCCGCTCGGGCAAAGAAGGCATCGTTATCGTAGCCCATTTGGAGGAATGATGGGGGAGGATTGGAGGTTGAGGTTGAGGTTGAAGGTTGAGATTGAAGTTGAGGTTGAGGTTGAGTGTGAAAGTCAAGACCTGTCTACGCCTTGTATATTTCAGGTCGAGAGCGAGAATCCTTTTGTAGCAACGAGACTCTGTTATACCACCTCCCTAGTATCCTACAGTATCGGGTGGAGACAAGGCACAGACAATGAATGGTACTTTAGTGGCAGCTCGGGAATCTCGCGCTGCCACCTTTTCCGCTCTCTACAGATTCAGGTCAATCTCGAGCCTCGAGTCACAACTTTAGGATTTTAGACCTCACCGCAAGCCCCCTTATCGGACATAGACGTGCAGAATACTCATCTCTGCATATAGCATCGGGCAACGTCCATGTCCGCCTCCAGCGCCGAGCTCGAGCTGACAAAGTTTACCGTTAGCGTTTTGTCGGGAAAGTAAGAAATGTGAAGGTACCAGGTTTGCCGAGACTCTCGTCCTCAGTTGATCATAATAGGTTTTCCGCTTCTGTACCAAAGATGGTCTTATCGTACGACACGACGGCCGCAACATACGGAATACTTTGGTATATCTCGTGGCGGTCAAATGACGGCACGGGTCCTGTCCCAGAATTGTCCATTTATCCTGTTGTCCTATCCGCTGGATCGAAGATAAGGAGGCCAACCCAGTCGATTGGTAAAACCTTGAGTCTTGGGTCTATACTCATCGAATGCCCCTGTCCATTCCGCCGTCTGATGTACTTATTTGACCAGGTTTTCTGGCAACTGTCTCTTCGGAAGCCACTCAATCGCATCTGTCCCTTACTCGGCGTGTGATCCACGTTACAATCATCCCCAAGTTCTCTCTATAGCAGACCAGCAAAGATGGCTGAGATGTTGGACGACCTCAAGACAGACACCAGGCTGACGCTGTCTACCTCACAGGCCGAAAAGGGCTCTCAGGTCCACGTCCAGGTGGGACAACAGAAGGTCGTTGCGAACGGCGCATTCGGCGAGGCCTTGGACGTATACGGAGACGCAGCGACGGCTCAGAAGCTAGGATACGTTCACAGAGGGTGGGTGCTGCCCGTAACGCATGAGATGGTCAATGGGCTCGTACTAAATGCTTGACGATAGTCTCAAGGCTCGTCACCTGCAGTTCATCGCACTCGGGGGCACCATCGGCACCGGCCTATTCCTCGGCATTGGATCAGCTTTTGCAAAATCAGGCCCTGTGTCCGTCGTCCTCGGATTCTCCTTCACTGGAGTCGCCGTCTATTGCATGATGCTGTGCCTGACGGAGATGACGACGTGGTTACCTCTCCCCGGTGCCATTCCTCAGTACTGTTCTCGGTATACCGATCCGGCCATGGGTTTCGCCGTCGGCTGGAACAACTGGATCCTCTGCGCCCTAGGCCTCGCCGCCGAGATTTCGGCTGCCGCGGTCCTGGTGCAGTTTTGGAACGACGAGATCAACCCGGCCGCCTGGATTAGTATCATTATCGTCGTTGTCGTCTGTCTCAACGTCTTGGCGGTGTCGATCTACGGTGAGGCCGAATTCGTCTTCGCCAGCCTCAAGATTGTTACGATCGTCGGTCTCCTGATCATGGCGTTCATTGTGGACCTCGGTGGTAGTCCGTCGGGAGACCGTTTGGGCTTCCGCTATTGGTACAACCCTGGACCTGCGATGAAGGAGGTCGTGGCCACCGGCGGTGCGGGTCGCTTCCTCGGGCTGTTCTCGACACTCGTGTACGCGGCCTTCTCCTTTGCCACCGTCGAGATGGTCGCCATCGCCGCCGGCGAGACCGCGAACCCGCGGAGAAACGTGCCAAGGGTCATCTCGCGCGTCGTCTGGCGCATCCTGATCTTCTACGTGGGAGGCTCGCTCGCCATCAGCGTCCTGGTTCCCTGCGATGACCCGGACCTTGGAAGTGTCTCGCCCTGGGTCATTGCCGTTAATCGAGCCAACATCCGCGTTCTCCCCAGCATTATCAACGCGGTTATAATTACGTCGGCGTCCTCGTCTGCGAACGCCGTCCTCTTTCTCGGCTCGCGATACTTGTTTGGTCTGGCCCAAATCAATCAGGCCCCTCGCATCTTCCTCAAATGCACGGACAAGGGTATTCCGATCTACGGCGTCGCATTCACCGCTATCTGGAGTTGCCTGGCCTATCTCTCGGTTTCCGCCGGCCCGACTGAAGTCTTTAGCTGGCTTCTGACCATCATCACCGTAGCCTCTCTCTTTACCTGGTGTAGTATTTCGATTTCTTACCTGCGTTTCCGCCGAGCTCTGGAAGCGCAGGCTGTGGATCGCAGCAGTCTCCCTTTCAAGTCCCCTCTGCAACCCTACGCAGCGTGGGTTTCCCTGTGCTTCTTCAGCACCATCCTCCTGTTCAACGGCTGGGAAGTGTTCACCAACGGTAACTGGTCTGTCAAGGGTTTCCTTTCCGCCTACGTCGGGGTCCCCATCTATTTTGGTCTCTATCTCTTCTGGAAAATCTTCAAACGGACTTGCCTCGTCAAGCCTGGGGAGGCAGACCTGTTCACTGGCAAAGCGGCCTTGGACGCCCAGGAGTGGCCCCAGACGAAGCCGAGAAATTTGTTGGAGAAGATTTGGTTCTGGTTATTCTAGTGAATAAATCTGGGAAATTTGGGACATTTTGAGAGAGGGGAGAGAAGAGAAGAGACAATGTTGTTTTTGGTTTTGGGGGGGAGGGGGGCGTGTATCGAACCCTGGAATCGACTTCCGTGCGTGGATGTTCCTCGAAACGAGCGTGCAATTCGGGGTGCTCAGCCCATAGGGTCTAGAGGATAACTGTTCGGGAAGTCTGGGAACCAGTCCTCGAGTGCTTCAATGTCCATGTCCATCGGCATGGACTCCTGTAATGCCGCCGTGCTGCACGTTGGCTCCGCACATGCCGCCTCGATCTTGTCCATCAAGTCGGTACAGTTTGCTAGACAGTTGTCCGCGAGGTCCCAGGCGTAGTTGCGGCGATGGGAGTCGAGTGCCTCGATCATGCGCCGCGCCAGTTGTAACGAAGTATTCCGTACGGGTCCCCTGGAAGAGAGGGCACTTCTCAGAAGAAAAGTGGTCGCTGACGTAAGCGTGTGGGCGTTGAAAGGGATCCAGAAATCCCGACAGTGCGACTCCTCCAACTCTCGTACAAAGTCGACCACCTCTTCGGCCGCCTTGCGGGCCTGTAGGAAGCACAGCGAGTCAACATCGCCGATCTGGCGAGACGTCTTGTCTAGGTCGAGTTGGCGACGCCGGATCAGGAGTTTGACCGACAAATACGCCAGTCGAAGGTTAGCCGCACCTGGGCCAACGAGGTGCTTGCCGCGGAGAACCTCGCGACGGAGGTTGTCCGTCAAAGAGTCCTCCCAATGCGTCAAAAGGCTCTCGAGGCCATGTGGAGTGGCGTCCCTCTTGGACGGGTCCATCTCGAGGCGGTATACCAGTTCTAAACAATCGCCGAGGACGTCAGTCAAGGTGGCCAGGGCAACGAAACGACGCGTGGCGCTGATTTGGTCGGCCGATGCGCCTGGATTGTAGAGGTCCTCGACGGCGGGAATCGGGACGTCGTGGTGGACTCGATTTATCAGAGGCGGGGTGCCGTAGGCCAAGCTACACCTGCGATGCCCTGTTGTCATTGTCTCGGCTCCAAAAAGATAGTGGGCGCATGGGGAAGGACATAGTGATATTTTCCTTACCAGCGATCACAGATCAGGACGATCCTCCATATTCGTATTCTAAACTTCTTCTCTGTGAGTGAGAGGTTCCATCCCGAAGGGTCCCGATTCAGCCCAAATGCATTGGCGAGGGACACAGCCATCCCCATCAAGGCGCTATTCCCAAGATTGAGAAGACTGGGCCGGGTAGAGAGGTTGATAAGGATTGACATAATGGTTGAAATGCCAGGCGTGCATTTGAACTCTTCGTTAAGAGTGTCTTCAGCCAGCCTCCAGAGGGGCCAAGGATCTGGACGAGGAACGTTCTTGAGGCTCGGGGAGGTGTTCCAGTATATCAGGGTAATTCCATATAAAAAAGCGAGTAGAGAGGGCGATATCTTGTCTTTCTGAGTAAGCAAGAGTCGCCGAAACAGGATCTCGTCAAAGATAGGAAAGCACTTGTTGATCTTATCAAAAAACCTGGGGAGAGCTGGTCAACACGAGGAAAGCTGCACCGCAGAGCAGGGAACAGAAGCGGGCGAGGCGAGACTCACAAATTGATAACCTCTTCTTCGTAGGGCGCGATGTGTCTCTCAATCATTGCACACTTCGACGCCGCCAGCGCTCGGCCCTCCTTCTCCCTGCGGCCGCGTCTCGGGGCAGTGTTGAAGACTATCACACGGACGGGTCCACCCCCACCTGCATCGCCCGCGTTTGGATAGAATCGGACCGTCCGTCCACGTTGACCGTAGGGCGTGCTGAATAGATACATTTGAAAGACGTTGTCATCGTCGGCTATCGCAGGGCTGACGACGTGAGAGCTGCCTTCGACCGAATCGACGATGGGATCCACCACAGCGGGGCCGAGATCGTGTGGCGGCGCGATGGAGTGGGATGAGGCCTCTCCGTGTTCTTGGTCTGCTATCCTGTCTTGGACCGTCGAGATGGGCTTGTTCACCACGCAGAAGGGAGCTTCGTTCCACATGCTCAATGAAGGAAGGCACTGCGACCCGTCGGGAGATCCCAACGGGAGATTCAACATCTGGGGCGACGGGGTCGACAAGGAGGCGGAGGGGGCGGTGGGTTGAATGCCTGTGCCTTTGGAAGGGGATTTTGGCCGACTCCTGGTCCTTCGTCGACGTCGCTGCTCGGGCAGAGGAGGGAATACACAGTCAGTGCCTTTGATTCGACATGTTACGCACGCGGGTGAAGCCACCGTGGTTTTGCACCGTGACTTTCTGGTTCGACAAGAGATGCAGGCCGGTTGCATGTGAGACCGGTACGGCCGCCCTTCGATTGGAGCCGTGATTTGATGTGGATCGGGAAGCTCGATGTCCATTGACCAAGGACTTGGAGGAAAAGTCGTCGTGTCGTGTTGCGTTCTGTCGTGGACCTCGCGCCGTGGACCATCGAGACGACGGAATTTCTACACGACAGGGTCGTTGGACAAGTAACGGAATACACGCCCTTGCGAAATAGATTCTAGCTTCAGCAGGCGAATAGAATGTACTGGACGAGTACAGTGCAGTAGAGTCCATCCGGTTGAGATAGCGCCCCGGGAAAGTGGTGCTGTGTCGGGGCGGGAAAGTGGTGCTCGTCGGGAAACTGGCGCCCCTCGGGAAAATGGTGCTTGTTGGGAAAGTGGGGCTCCTCGGGAAAATGGTGCTCGTCGGGAAAGATGCGCACGGCCCGGTCGAGAAAGTCGAAGAGACTGCGAACGACTGAAGGGATAAGTCAATCTGAGAGCACCAGGGCATCAGGGTATCAGAGCACAAAGTAATAATACCTCTGGTGAGGCTGGGAAACCGTCCGTTATCAACTGACACTTTTCTGCGTCCTCTGGGTATATGTCCTCTAGCATGGTTAAGACACCTGCCCGGCCGTCTCTGAACATGTATAAAAGGCCTCTTTCCTCGCTAACCTACTTTGTGGCATACGACCATAGTGATCTAGACCGTTTCAACTTTTCTGTAGCCCTTTCCCCTTCGCCCACTGTGGACTATCAACTTTCCCGGTGGTAGGAAGCCTCGCTTGTCTGGGAGCGTGATTTTCTCGTCCAGCAGATCCTACCACTCAGGACCAATAGCTTCAGACCAGTAACCGGACCGCTAAAACATTCGGTCTACTGCCCTTCCTCATATCTCGAAGCACCCCTTCTCATCCCAGATCACTATGGTATTAAACGACACCGACGACGTGGGCTCCTCCACAACCACACGTATCTCCTCATCCGCTAATGACGCCCCCACAGCCTCCTCATTCGCCATCAAGGCTGGCTTGGCCCAGATGCTGAAGGGCGGCGTTATCATGGACGTTGTTAACGCCGAGCAGGCCCGCATCGCCGAAGAGGCGGGCGCCTGCGCGGTCATGGCCCTCGAGCGGGTGCCCGCCGACATTCGCAAGGACGGCGGCGTTGCCCGAATGTCGGATCCGGAATTGATCAAAGAAATCCAAGCGGCGGTCACTATCCCAGTCATGGCCAAGGCGCGCATCGGCCACTTTGTTGAGTGCCAAATCCTTGAGGCTCTAGGCATAGACTACATCGACGAGAGCGAGGTCTTGACCCCAGCAGACGACAACTTCCACGTAGAAAAAATCGACTTCAGGGTCCCCTTCGTGTGTGGGTGTCGAAATCTCGGAGAAGCCCTGCGACGCATCGCCGAGGGCGCCGCCATGATCCGCACAAAGGGCGAAGCCGGTACGGGAGATGTGGTCGAGGCGGTTAAGCACATGCGGACAGTCAAGAGAGAGATTGCTCGAGCGCAGACCGCGCTGGCCGACGGTGACGCTGCTCTCCGCGCGTACGCAAAGGAGATCGGCGCCGAAGCTGAGCTGCTTAAACAGACAGCGCAACTCGGCCGGCTGCCCGTGGTCAACTTTGCCGCTGGCGGCATCGCCACGCCCGCCGACGCAGCCCTGATGATGCAACTGGGCTGCGACGGTGTCTTTGTCGGCAGCGGCATCTTCAAGTCGGGCAACGCAGCCAAGCGGGCCAAAGCCATCGTGCAGGCGACAGCGCACTTCCGTGATGCCAACGTGTTAGCCAAGTGCAGTGAGGGTCTCGGCGAGGCTATGGTGGGCATCAACTGTAGCTCCATGGAAGAAGGGGAGAAGATGGCCGGCCGAGGCTGGTAAGAGGGCAAGCTTGCACCAATGTGATACCGCAAGCCGCGGGGTGTGCGCAGGCAATCTTCTCACCATATAAGCTCGCCAAGGACTGGGGCGTTCCTGCACTGTAACATCTTTCGCCGTTGCATCATCTGAAACAGTAAAGTTCTTTCTGCACACTGCAACAATGAATGCCATCACAGAACTCCTAGCAAGTACAACGCTCGGAGATGCGGCTGTCGGCAGGAGCAAGCTTTGTGCCGACGACTGTTTTCATGCTCTGTTCAAACTGCGTAAGACGTTTGATCACCATCTCCTTTTCTGGGCCCTGTGCAGCACTTCGTCCAGACATAATTGAGAATCTGAGCATTTGACGGCAGGCTTGGATGATGTGGAAGACGCGACCATCTGGCAGTACAAACAGTGGTTGAACTTACACGGCGAAAATGTGAGGATGTCCCAACTTCCTGACTTTTCCACAGGTCGTAACAGGAGAACCGAGATCCTACTCCGTTCAAATTCATTACCGTCGATCATTTACGTGCCCCAGATTTTGCCGTCCACTGCGGGCGCTTTACTTGGACCAATCCAAGTTGTTATTTTTCAGCCTTGTGGGACCAAGGAGCCCTTGGATCGAGTCTGCGAGCCTCTGTTGCTGCCGGACTAGATGGGTTATTCTACTTGATATCAAACTCAAATCTATACGGCACCAAGGAATGTGGGCCACCGGAGTCCCTCTAGTATACTATAGGTCACGTAGCCCTTTATCTAACCTTCCTAACATCTCTATATAGCTACTAAAAATACTTAGAATCAAGTTAGTTAAGATTCGAAACCTAGTAACGCCGCATACCTCATTAGGACGGGCTTGGCCAGCATTCGACCTACTATATGAACTGTAATTTTGTGCTCAACATCTCCTGTTGCTAGAGGGTATCTGAATACTTCTCTACCTCCCTCTAGTACATATTAAGATATTCAGATGTTCAATAGGTCGCCAGGTCCTCGGGGTGTGCAGTGTCTTTAGATCGCACCGGGCTCTTTAGGACTGAATACTCAAACTTCCGATCGACATATTTCAACGCCTCCGGATTGACATTGTTTGTGTTGAGGCCCATTAGATATTCTCCTCCATCTGTCGGGGGAGGCCGCAACGGCCACCAATAGCATCTGCACGGTATGAGCTCGCAATCTCATGCAAGAGGGATTGATCTTTCCTTACACGCATCCACAATTGTCACAGAAGTTGAAAGATAGGTCTCGGTCTCCCCAGATGTACTGCTTGATGATGGCCCCTGGCTTCGTTTCGATCTTGACCTCGTCTGGGTGGTAGTAGCCCCATGCGGCACCATAACGCCTACATATGGTACATTGGCAGACGTTAATATATTCGGGCAATCGTGGAACTATGATTGCAATAGCACCACAGTGACAGGTGGAGCGGATTGGAGGGTTTGCGGCTGCCATATTTGACTCATTCGTAAAGAGCTTGATTGTGATATGAGAAGAGCTTGTAATTTGGGCTTGCCAAAGCCTGTCTGTTGGATCACCAGAAACGACTTAGTATATGTACTCTGACGACCCAGGATAGTAGGCTAGGCACAGCCCAGGCACCAGGCACCAGGCAGCCATTTCCGGACCGGAATAACGTTGGACCCTGGATCGGCATTTCTTGCCCACTTTGACCAGCGAGGCAAGAAGAGGACACCTTCTCAGGCTCGCACAGGGATCATATCATAACACAAGCTTCGGTGCCAAATGCCAGCTTCGGTATTGTTTCGGGGGCGACATCTTGAAACATGTCTTCCGAAATGACCCCAATCACTCGATGCGACATCGGAAAGAATGCTATACTGTTTCTACGTCGTAGCCCTTGTCAGTCGAGGTCCTCTTCATGGATACCTTGCATTCCTAAAGCATACGGTGAGGTTCTGAATCACGGTGACCCAGGTGGTGTGCTATATGGTTTATTGTCGGCCAGAATAGGTGGCGTAGCCGACGATGGTTGTGTTTGGGTCGAAACATGACTTGCTGTCCTGGATATGCCCATCAGACTGACATTGCCACTGGCACTACCAGACCCAGGCTCAGATCGTTGTCGATAGAGCCTGTCGAATTCGTCCAGGACTTGACTTTTGCTTATGTCTAACCCAATCGCACGGATAGAGTACTTATCCTGCACTCGCTGGGCGGAAGCCACAGAGTGTTTGGTCTTTGAATGGACGGCAGCATACATGGACTTGTAGATCCCTTGGCCAGTGTAGCCGACGAGGCCCATGCACGCTTCAATCAACAAATCAGCAGGCTTTACTCGTCGACAAGGGGCAACCAAACGTACCTGCTGTGGGTTTCGTCGCTGTTTGTAACGCCCCTTTACCGATTCCTTTGCCAAAGCCAATTATTCCTTCCTTGGCCATACCCTTTGCTGGTTGGACTACCAGATCTGTCAGCCCCTCAGCCATCTGGTGGACGAAGGTCGTTGCAGCCACGGTGATGCCGCTTTTCCAGTCGGTCACGGCGGCGTGATCAGGCACCTTCTCCCCGTAGAGTTTCGGTGTGTTCCGCATGCCTTCTGCAATGGCGACGGGTATGTCGATCAAGGATCCCTTCACCACTATTCCTGTGAGCTGCGAGATACTCATCGCAGAGGCGCCCACCATCCTTGCAATTTGTTTGCTTGATCCTTCCATTGCGTCCATCTCCATTCCAGACTCGGTTTGATGAGCTGAAGACGTACGGCCAAGTGCACGATCTTTATCATTCTGCTTATGGACTTCTCGTGGATTTCTCCAGAATCCACTGATAGCAGCCAGAATATCATATGACACTTCCATCGAGACGGCGACTGAGGAGGTGAGAAAGTTCCATCGTCTGTTCTCGATAGTAATGGGTTTCGGTTTGTACAGTCGAAGATGGTCAGCTTTGATCCTCTGAGCCAGGATCAAAATTTCAGCCGCAGGCCCGGAAATTTTTAGCAGAGTTTTCGATCTCTTGTACACCCAAGTAGCGGGGAGTCCCTTGATCAAATCACAGTTCATGTCATCAACTGGCAGATGACGATGAAATGAACGGACAGCTGCTTTGACTCCCTCCTCGGCAGCCATCCTGTCAGCCACCTCCTTTGCAGCTTGTTGGGTCTCTTGACGCAAACAGTAGCGTATGCAATCGCTGAGATTCTTGCTATTTAGTTTCTTGTGGGCAATCGGCGGGGGTCCAGCCTGGGAAGCGGCAACCACGTTACCCCAAAATAGCTGGCTATATTCGATCAGCAACGACAAAGTAGTAGACGTGAATGAGAGCATACTCTCCGAAGAATGGCACAATGACAGTTGGGCAGCCATTCATCAGCCCAGTGGCAGTGGTCCCTGCACCGCCGTGATGAACCACCACCGAAACTTGTTGAAACAACCACTCTAAGCATTTAGCTAGTGACACCAGGCAAAATTGCAACGAATTGTCACTTACCATGAGGACAGTCCCCGAGGAAGTAGATGTTTTCGCCGACGTTTTCGCTTTCCAGGTTGCTCCACCCCTTCGAGATGATGGCACGGACGCCACATGCCTTGATGGCAGCAAGTACTATGTGGAGGAGTCTTCCAGGGTTCTCAACCACGATACTACCAAAGCCAACATAGATCGGAGTCGGTCCAGACCTCAGAAATTGTTCGAGGCCATCAGGTATAGTGAAAGATGCCGGGTCCCGACGGAGGAAACCGCAGATGTCTGCATTGTCCGTCAAGGGAAGAGCTTACTGAGAATGTCAAGTACTGACCGATATGCTTGCCCCAGTCGGTGGGTTTGGAGACCAACGCGGGAGACCAGCAGTAGGTGTGAGGAACTTGAAGGGTTTCCATGAGGAAAGGAGCCTCGGACATGGGAACGGATTCCAGGCCAATGGATTTCCGCCATTTTTGTACAATATCACCGATTCTCAAAGGGAAGTCAGCAGAGAATTACAAGGGGAGCAGACGTGTCATACCCATTCCAGGTCAACAACTGGACCATGCCGTATGAGATGTAATTTGCCAGCCTTGGATCGGTACTACTATTTCTAATGTTCGCTAGAGGATGAGGAAAGGCTCGAGTTGGACTCCATGGCATGGTGAACATAATATGGAGCGGCACTCCGAGTGCTTGAGCACAATGAATGTGAGCAAAGGATGGAGGGTTTGCGATAATGGCATTGGCAACGAACGGTTCTCCGCCATCTGAAGGTAGAATGCACGAAGCCCAGCAACCGTCAAGGATCTCGCGGATCATCTGCCTGTTCTTTTTGACGTCTCCTTCTCGCAGAGCCTTCATGCGAGGTAGCAATCCGGGATTCTTGACCATGTACTAGACAGCCAATTAGCTTATAACCCAGGAATCAGGAAAGCATCTGGTACCGCCATCAGCTCAGCTGGATCGCCTCCAATGGAGTAGAATTCCAATCCTGCGGTTTCCACAAATTTTCTAAAAGCTGAATGGGTTGCCAGGCGCACTCGATGCCCATGACGCTGAAGCTCTTGTCCAAGCGCAACAAACGGCTGTACATCCCCACGGCTACCGACAATCTGGATCACGATATTTAAAGGTAGTTTCCACGAGTCTATGTCCAAGATGGACGAGTACGCCGGCGGAGGCTCGGCAACTTCTTCCTCGTCCTCGGAAGCTTCCACAAGTTGTGCGAAAACTTGTGCAAGTTTTGAGTTGAGGTTGAGAGAGATGCGTCCATCATCGAGGACGTCTGTGGCATCTTCTGCAAAGGCGTCAGGGAGCGGAGAGTCGGGTTCATCGGGGTAAGCATTTTCGTTTGCGTTCACGTCGGTCGTCGAAAGTTGCAAAGACGGAGGCGCGGCAGTGGGTAGGCGAGAGAGATTTTCTTTTTGGCCCATGGCAGGGAAAGAATTCTCAGGAGCTAATCAGGTCGCAGCGCAGCCTTAAGGTCATTCTTGACGAGACTCTTCAAGCGTGGAGTGATCTGCTAAGGATTTCCGCCGTATATATTTCTCCTGACTTTCAGGCAACAACATTTCATGCAGACTGTG